AGAGTCTCCACATCTTTTCTACATCGTGGCGACCAAAACTGAATGCAGTATTCCAGGTGTGGCCTTACCAAGGCATTATAAAGTGGTATGAACACGTGAAGTGTTTATGTAGCCTAGAATTGTGTTGGCTTTTTTGGCAGCTGCTGCACACTGCTGGCTCATATTTCAATGGTTGTCCACTAAGACTCCAAGATCCCTCTCACAGTTACTACTATTGAGCAAGGTACAACCTATACTGTAACTGTGCATTTCGTTTTACTTGCCTAAGTGTAGAACCTTACCCTTTTCACCATTGAATTTGTTCCTTTAAAGCAGAGTCTCTATTAATGGTTTATATAACAAAACTCTTATCTGTTCATTAGGATCTAGTTATGAACTTATGATCTTCCATGCCCAAAAGCCAATACAACCTTCTACCAAGAAAAAAACCCTTCTCTGCCAGACATAAATTTCAGACATTTTCAAAACATTGACAAAATTTATATGAAATGTTTTGTTTTATATCATTTATGCTGCAAGTTTCAAAATGCACGCCATAATTTATTCTGGATTTGCTAGATATAAGAAAGGTCCAGATGGTTTATAGACTTTGGCTGCTGGAAATCCAGTTTCCCTACTCTGAATTCTGAGACTGAGACAATATGGATTCTATGTCTTCAAATGCTAGCAAGGATCATTTCCTATTCAGTCAGGAAACAAAAAACAAATGCACAGGACAGGAAATGGGAATGAGAGCATGGCTATGACAGGACTACAAAGAGAGGGATTCAGTTTAAGTCTGCTTCAACAGAAGCAACTTTCCCAAAACATAGGGAGTAATTCTGTACTTTCAGGCACATTATGTGCCTAGTTCTCTGGAGCAGGGATCTCCAACCATGGCAACTTTAAGCCTGGAGGATTTCAACACCCAGAATTCCCCAGCCAGAATTCCCTAGCCAGCAGGGCTCTCCAACCTTGGTAACTTTAAGCCTGGAGGACTTCAACTCCCAGAATTCCCCAATTGAAGTCTGCCAGGCTTAAAGTTGCCAAGGTTGGAGACCCCTGCTCTGGAGAACACTGGGAAAGGTGGAAGGAAAGAGAAGATAATGATCAACAACCAGGTTGATAAACTCAGTTAGGGTGTTTATGGATGCACTGTTGCAAGATCAGGTGAAGGATAGATCATCATTGAGGAAATCTTGTGGTCACTGAGTAGACAATAGCAATAGCAGTTAGACTTATATACCGCTTCATAGGACTTTCAGCCCTCTCTAAGTGGTTTACAGAGTCAGCATATCGCCCCCACAGTCTGGGTTCTCATTTCACCCACCTCGGAAGCAATAGCAATAGCAATAGCAATAGCAGTAGACTTATATACCGCTTCATAGGACTTTCAGCCCTCTCTAAGTGGTTTACAGAGTCAGCATATCGCCCCCACAGTCTGGGTTCTCATTTCACCCACCTCGGAAGCAATAGCAATA